TGATTCTATATAAAGTAAATAATTGAATGGTGAAATATTTCTGCATTTCAGTGTTGCGTCTTTGAGTTATGAAGGTTTAATCTTCCAATATGCTAATGATAATGGCGTCAAGGAAGACTTCTCTAGATATACGAACTTTGAAACAGTCGCTCAAAAATGTTTACATGAACGCCAACTGAGAATATGGTTATTCTCTACATTGCATACGATAAATTTTATGCAATGAAACCATTTTTACTCCTTCAAAAATCGTATATCTAATGAAGCCTTCTTTGACGTAACCCCTTCATAACTCAAAGACGCAACATTGAAATGCAGTAATATTTCACCATTCAGTTATTTATTTTATACAGAATCAGCTCACAGAGAATCAGAAATTTTTTTTGTCAGGCGTCATAGGCACTTTAAAATTGGAATATATTAATTGGATTGTAAATTATTTTCAACATCTAATGAATTTCTGAGTTTAATAAGTCGCTATTATTAAACTGTCAGGAAAGATCACGAAAATTCACAATCAATGTCAATATTTGTTTATCCTTTTAGCAGTAGATGGTTCAAATTTATACACAGAATAGTTAGGCATTGATCGTCGTAATATATTAATGCTACCAAATTATGCGGCATAATGTCATTCTAAATTCAGATACCCTACGTTTAATGTCTGATTTATATATGACTGCGCAGTCCTCTTATCATGTCCTATCTTAAATGTTTCTGTTTCTAAGTTCCTTTCTCATTAAAACCTCATCTTGTTATAAACGAATTCACAACTCTCGGTAGATAAATCTTCTCTAAGATGTTCTTGAAGTATTTCAATTCCCATTTTTTTAATTTCKCATTTTCCATTTCCCATATTTCATTTCCCATCTTTTAATAGACAGCTAATCACAGCCAAGTAACCAAATGCGCCAGAAGTGACAAGACATCTAGATATTTTCTGCATTTTTTGCATTTAGGAGAAAGTATATAGCATRCGGAATCGTTGCACAAGGCGATCAACCGCTTCTCTAATTTCTTTGATTCTCAAGCAGTAAATTATCGGATTCAACAATCCATTAGCCATCAAAATAGCATCACAAACTACAACAAAGTATAAAAACGCTTCACTTTCAATCGTCACGAATCGTAGAAACACAATCAAATTTAATACATTGGGCGTGTAGCAGATGCAATACGCGCCGACTATGTACCGCATCGTGTTCATAGACTTCTTGTATTTTGGCATGTTGAYATTTAGATGTGTTGACTCTAGTTGTGCTTGGATTTGAGCGTTGTGACGRCGAATAACTAGAGATACTCTCATGAAGAAATATAAAGTTAGGAAGATTACGAGGATAAARAGGATGAAAACACAATAAGAATACACGCGGAGAGTAACATCATCTTGTACAATAATGGCTAAGATTGCASTTGTCAGACAAAATAAATAGATTAGTGCAACCAGGATCGAGTATCGCGCATTTGTGACGATTTCTTGGTATCGTAGGTGAAGATGAATGGCAAGGAAGCGATCGGCTGCAATACAAGTTAGCAGAAAAAACGAAGACATGGAAAATATTGTCGTGACGTAGTAATAGACCCATCCACATAAGCAAAATCTGTCAAGTCTGTTCCTCAGCTCARCCATCTTAAGCATACAGTAGCAAGGTTGTCCAATGGTAGCAACACCAAAATCAGCTACAGCCAAGCCTATTATTAGGATATACGATGGTGTACGTAGGGAAGGAGTTCGCAGTATTGTCATAATGACGATTAAATTGCTAAAAGACGACAGCAAAGCTATTAARGAGTTCAAAACAACGATGAATATGACAAACACTTCATTCTGTGGGCTTGTTTGAATGATATGATATAATTCTAGAAACGTACAGCTTGGAGACCTAAAATTTTGGGTAGTGTGGTTGGCCATTGGAAATGTCTTCTGCTCAAGTCTTTGTTTCCTTTAATCTTGAATATAGTAGAATAGACATGAATAAACTCATTTCATTGGGCATCGGAAGTCCATAAGCAAATCCAATCGTAAACATACTAGGCATACTGTACAGCGAAAGAAAGCATGCGCAGATGAAGAGTTTTTGGCATATCAAAGATTTTCAGTTATTTTATCAATTTTAATTTAATTAACGAAGTGTCTTGTTTATATTTTGACATACGTAGCCATAGATCTAATCGGCTAACGCGTTGCTATAAACGTTTCCACCCAATTCAAACCACCCGGGAGTAAGTTTCAATGTTSGTTGTATTTTCATTTCWTARTTGAATTGTTAGCAACAAAAGTTCTTTTTCGCACAGGATTTGAATTGGGTTGTGACGTACATGGCAACGCGTTAGCCGATTAGGTTTATTGCGATTGTGTTTTTGCAGCTGGCTGTACATAACTWAACACTACAAGGAATATATCAACCTCATATGAACTTATTTTTTGTCTGGTTTTATTCATGCAGTCAGTCATCGCGAAAAAAGAAAACGAGTACAAAAAAAATGCGAAGTTTTTTCTGGAAATATAGGATATATTAAGAGTCTATTTAAACCAATAACGTCTGATGGCATATAAGAAGGGATCTTAACTTGTCTGTCACAATTTCCTATAATAAAATTTAAAAATCAAACATAACTCTGTAAACTAAACGTAATAACGTCGACACTTGACTTTACCAAAAATTCATTAATTTAAACTGTCTAAAGCTACCAATAAAGCATACAACTTGTGCCAATGTTTGCTCTTTCTTTTGGTAGTACTGTTTATCATTCCAAATTACTCGCACAAATTTAGCTTTGTCTATTTTGACGTGACGCTCTGTAAATTTTGGTTGCTTAGGGGCTGGCCATTTGAATTTAGGGGGGGTGTGTGGGGAGGGGTGTGTGTGGGGGAGAGGGGGACACTCAAACACATGTACACTTAACAGCCAATACTAACCTATCTTGGCTATGAACAATAGCAAAATAGAACTACTATAAACAAACCTTGTTTTCCATCGAAATGGACTTGAAATCACAAGAGGTTACTTATACAAAAGCCTGACCTCTTCCGGCCAGCATGCAATGTTAACTAAGGAAATTCATATTTAAAACCTTGCATTGAAATCCTCTCGGTTGCATAACAACGGAAAATGAAGAAAACAAAGTTTGCGGAGAAAATACCKCGATAGTCAACTGTTTCAAGGAAGACCAATATATAATTGCCTGGTATTTATTTCGAATTATACAAAGTATTTATTTAATTTCTTCATCGTTCTATCATCGTTCAGYAATCTCCAATGGCCTCTCTCGTCAACAACTACTTTTGAACACGTAAACAGGCACCCCATCCAAGAACATCAAATGTTAATGATGTTGACTTTTTTCAGACGTCCTTAAATATTAAGAATCCTTCAAGTTTTTATTGATTRCTTAACTTTTAATTAATCATTTCTCGTAAAGTAGGAGGTTGAAATACGCCCTTTGTATGCCAACAGGACTGAGGCAGGTGTGATCTTGTATATCATACAAAGRCAAGGTCGGCACATCAGCCTTATCACAAATATCACTCCTACATATACCGTTSGCATAGCAGGAAATTATACTTTCAACTGTATAGTAGTATTTTGATTAAGCAATGATCTTATTGCACCTGTTATTCCTGCTTCTATAGACAATGAACTCCGTCTAGTTCTCAGCGGAAATTTTTCGTCGGCATTGTTGTAAGCTTCAAACCTCGACCCTTGGATTGCATAAAGTGAAATCATATAATGGATGCGTTTTCCGCGAAGAAACGCATTAGTTAACGTATGTGCAATGATGAACGAAACAGACCATCATAATGAAACCTTTTACTGCCACTTCCAAGAAAMGTAYATTTTTGACTATGACACGAGCAGCCTCACCAAGCATCTGGTMATRTTTTTTGTGGTTTTCAACGCACTGGTTGCTGTGATTACATCTTTTAGTAATGCCATAGTTATTCTTTGCATCGGTAAAAATCCAACGCTRCACACWCCGTCAAATATTCTTCTACTTGGCTTAGCGTTTTCTGACCTKGGTGTTGGMGTAGGTTGTCAGCCATTGTATGTTATACTCAAAGTACTAGAGCTCAACTATGCAAACAGGGAAACTATATGCTATGTAAGTTTAGTTTTCAACTCTGCAAGTTGGTCGCTTGCAATTATATCTTTGTTAACTCTTACGGTGATAACGGCGGATCGATTCCTGGCCGTCTACCTACATTTACGATACAAAATGTTTGTTTCGACACGAATTTACGTACTTCTACTTGCTGCAATATGGTCAGTGGGTATTCTTTGTATAGTTCTAAAACGTYTCATCAAAGAAGGCGTTATTCTACAAGGCCTTTTCGTTATATCAGCATTTGTAATCTTTTCAATCAACGGTTTTTGCATTTATAAAATCTCTCGAGTGGTGAGCCGACATTCGGCTCAGATCAGCGCTCAACAGCAATCCACACGAGCCAATATTAACATGCCGAGGTACAAGAAGTCTGTGAATACCATGTATGTTGTGRTAGGTGCATTTGTTCTTTGCTATGCACCAATTGTGATTGCTATTTTACTGCATATGGTCTTTAAACGACGATTATTGGTTGTTTATTTGAGYTATTGCGTATCGRCGTCTCTTGTTATGATGAATAGTGCCYTGAACCCCGTGATTTACTGCTCGAGAAACAGCGAAATTCGAACGGCTGCTTTGCAGTTTTTTCGACGCAAAGTKTCACTTACTCCCGTWGAGAATATACAGATATAAAGACAACAKCTGTAAAGAAAAAAAGCGATTGAGGGCATATTATCAATCAAAAATTATCGACCATATTGACYTTCACTCGCGCAATTGCCCTTTCGCCGCTTCGATGAARCTATAAATAAAACTATCCGCAGATGCAGCGGAAAAAAAGACGATGACGTAATGTATGAAAAAGTYCCAACGTCGATTTAATGGAAAAAGATCTAAAACTAATAAGATTTTGAAAATAGAAACGAAAAAGAAGATTGACGTATAATATGCCACGTTTATAAACATGGCATATCATAAGTACTGTGATCGTATTGATAATACAAAGGCAAATATCGTATAAATAGATCACATCCTGAATTAAAGTTGACTTTTTCAATGTTCTAAAGGAAATGAATCTCGTTTTTTGGATATTCCAAGGATTAAAAATTTTTAATATTAACACTCTGGGACACTGAGAAATTTTTATGTGTTGCGCTTAGACCAGGTGTGTGTACAGACGGTATACAAACACAATAAAAAAGTAAAACTTCACTACAGTTTTTTCATGCGACGAGCCTTGAAGCATCTTTTTAAGGAAAGTGTAGTGATCGTCTGATATTAAGCGTGGAGGAGAAACTATCGAATTAGGCTTTTGAAAGTCAAATTTGAATCAGCGAGTTGACCAACCTATCTTCACTTTCTACGTGACTTTCGACTTCACTTACACTATATAGACTTCGTATACAAGTAGACGAACTACATCTGGCATAGAAGATCTGGTATATTTGATCTCGCGATCATGACCAAGAGCAACACAACAAGTTTTCTCATCACACCATGCCCACCACTGGAAACCTACTTCTTTGCTTTCGTCCACGACAACTYTTACAGCTATTTTATGATTATCATGATAATATTGAACGGAATCATCGCTHTTTTATCATTTGGGAGCAACTTCCTGGTGATTTATACCATCGCGTTCACTAAATCTCTTAAAACGCCTTCGAATATACTTATTCTTGGCCTCGCTGTGTCGGACTTTGGWGTTAGTCTAGTATCACAGCCTTCTTTCTGCGCTGTGAGAGCWTCCGAGCTTCAACTCAACGTATCCCAGTTTTGCTCATATGGACAAGTCTTCCAAGGAAGTATATGGATGCTTGCAGTTGTATCGTTTTTTACATATACGGCAATAACTACTGAAAGGTTTATAGCAATACAGTTACACTTGAGATATAAACAAATCATTACGACCAGAAAGATTGCAATTGTACTCATAGTAATATGGACGATCTGCTCAACCGTCCCTGTCATCAGGTTTAGGCTCATGAGCCAGGCTATCTTAATAGCAACAACTGTAATATTCATTGGTTTTATYATTCTCAACATCTTCTTCATTGTTAGGATAGCGCTCGTTATTCGTCGACATTCGGCTCAAATTTWYATCCAACAACAGTCTGCGCAACATAACATGAACATGCCAAGGTTCAAGAARTCCGTGAACACYATGTACYAYGTGATCGGCGTTTATATTCTCTGTTACGTTCCTTTTATGTTATCTCTACTGATTCAAGGCACTCTGGGACAGGTTGAGTATCAGAAGTCGAAGAGCTTATTTTGTATTCAAGTTCTTGCAATAACTCTGGTGATGAGCAACGGCGTTATAAACCCCATAATATACTACTGGCGTATACGAGACTTGCGTACAGGTACCGTACGGTTACTAAGAAAAGTGTGGTTGCGTTGTAAAACAACTCAAAAACACAGTAGTGAGCCCACGGTACGTCATAGTTCTGGGAGACAGCGGAATCACGACGTAAATCAGAAGTCAAATGAGCAATGTGAACAAAAATGACACGACTTTAAACGAATGTGATTTTTATATCTATWGACCACATAATGTGCAGCTCGTATCAAGTTAGTGACTCAAAGAAAGACACGAGCTGTTGTCGTACGGGCAAAGACAAGATGGCGGTCAAGAAACACGGCACCGAAAACAATGCGCGGTAAACTTAGAATTAGAAATAYACTATCGCTGCGAAATCCACCAACATAAAATCCAAACGAATGCAAATAACATCATCTGAAAACTTAACTGGAAAACACTGAATAATGAAGAAGTTAAAAAATAACAATTTATTCTCAACACCCTAGGACTTTTTAAAAGAACAAGATTTTATGAGCTTTTTGATAACATTCTSACAACAAAATACTATATCATTCAATAACATACAAAAATATCACTCTTAGCACCTAAGTATTATAAGGGCAAGCTTTAGCAACATGTCCTCCATARTAACATTTTGAACAGACAATCACAAATCGTTGAAACTTATCCCTCACGATTGTCTGRCCTTCCTGGCACTGCTTCGATACAAGCTCCAGCTGTTGCTTGACTATAGAAAGGTTAGAGAAATAGTCCTGCARTCGACTATATAGGAAGAAATGATGAAAACTAAGACAAGCTGTTGCTTTTCTCYTGTCCTTCCCTCTTGAGCCGTGCCGTGGTTGTACAAGACAGCCCTTGTAGGGCGCTAGCTCAGGGCAGAGGTCGACACTGTGGTATTCGCAGCTTTTTAGCTGGTGTGGAAGAGTTTTGTCGTGGTAATGTGCTGTCAGGATTCGCCGATCTTTGTTTCCCGTAGTGGGGTGTACGTAAGGGTCTTCGGTTTCAAGGAGAAGCGATGGATTGGTCTGAAGCTCTGTCATTTGGAGTTCGGGACAAGAAGTGGACTATTAAAAGAGAAATGGATATTGAGAGGAGAGTTAGGAGAGAGATTCCTTTACTCCACTTTAGTGGGATTGATGCAGGGAACTTCAGAGTCAACTACGAGAAATGTGAGAGTACTAGATCTAAAGCTCTGGAAAACGAGAAAAGAGAATGAACATGAATAAGGGCGCGAAGTCAGAGATCTTGCTCTTTAAATTTAAAAACTACTCGACGTGTATACTGGGGACGAAAACGAACCCACACAACTGACCACTGACCACAGTATAATTCAGAGGTCCCAATTTTAGCCAGTGAGTTTCAAGGTTCACATTTAATCCATCTCGAAGCAGCTATTGAACTGCCCTGCAAGCCTATCGTATTCCATCATATTACAGTATTTTACCTGAGGATCTTCGTATAATGAGGGCATCTCAAAGCAACCTTGTTTAGTATCCCACAACTGTCTTGTCAGCTCGGGAGATCTAGTATCAGCATGCTGTGCTACAGTRCAAGCGATGTCTGTAAGGTAGACTGGAGGCCAGTATTTACTGGACTTWAGTAGGTCGATATGATCTCGTCCACTCTCAGGTCGCATGATGTGCCTTGATGCTGTTACGACCTATCAGTAAAAAAAATTACATGAGCGACGCACGAATTGCATTCACAGGAGACGTTTACGTCCTTAGAGTTGCTCTGATTAAAGAATCATAACCAACCGCTGTACCTTGCGAGCCGAAGCGCCATTTTAGGTGGACACGAAAATGGCGGATTCGTAGCATTTCTTAAAGTGAGCGCGAATCGTCTTCCGTTCTTTCAGTTCGGACAGAAATACCTTTAACTAAGTACCTCACAGGTACTATCAATCTATAATCTATTGTATGCTTGACACATTTAAACGTATGTAAAGGTACGGCGGTTGGTTATGATTCTTTATGCTATAAAGGATAAATTTCCGTGATCTCTTTGCGAAATAGATCACGCGGTATGTAAGGAGAATATGAAAAAACGTAGAAAATCTCGAGACACAGGCGACGTTTACATCCTTAGAATAGTTGCTCTGATTGGTTATAAAGAATAAAATATTCAGTTCCTTATCCACTGTTTCAATAGAAACAAGTATTGTTTCAAGTATAAGCCTACCAGTTGTGGACAAGCTTTATAACAAGAAAAAATACAAAAAATACATAAGGTTCATAAGTGACGCATAAATTCCATTCACAGGGCGCGTTAACTTCCTTAGAAGAGTTGCTCTGATTGGTCATTAAGAAGACAACAATTTTCCTTATCCACTGTTTCAATAGAAACAAGTATTGTTTCAAGTATAAGCCTACCTGATGTGGACAAGCTTTATATACTTTGCCGCCATTATACGACGAGCCACTGACAAATGAATGACAACTGCTTCGACCAGACATCAAAAAGTTGTAGCCACCTTCTAGATAATTTTCCAAAGTAGCCTTGAAATAACAAAAAAATTTATTGACAACTGAACTTTAAGAAGTAATTCTAGAGGTTAAACGTATGAAGTTATCCTCYAGCAGAATGATGCGTATATTAGGATTAAATGAAGCCTTGGTTGCTATTTGTAAGTCATGGCGATGCTGTAGACAGCGAAAGCATGGAACCGCACACTAGTAACATACAAATAGCAGACAAGGCTTCTTCGATACAATCCTAGAGTACAAACACTAAAACTGTGCAACATAAATACCACTAAATACTGCTAAATCTATTGTTTTCTATTGATTATAATTAGCACTATTTTGTACTAAATAACGTAGAGTGTTTGTACTCTAGTAATTTTAGATATACGGAAATCCTTGTCCAATGACTGTACGATACATGTAGCTCAACCTACYTTAGAGTCAGTCTCGTTGACAGGGATGTCACATCTTTGACACAAAGAGAACAAATCAGCATGCGAGTACTGATTTARACTATGAGGRTCTATAACACCACGMTGTAGCATACTAGCCAGCTTAGACGTGTTKCCKTGAAAACCCGGAAGTGTGTTCTTGACAGGAGCCTTGAGATGTTCAGTATTAAGAACACTAGAAGCGCGATGCGCTGCTGGTATGAATGGTGCAATTTTTGTGCCATCATATACRACRATTGGATCAACACTTGCAAAAGCCACTTGCTCAATACTCTTGCTTTCCATATCATCCCAAAATGCATCCACGTCGACGATGTTTTCTGTTTGTGTCTGTATTGAWGGCCATTCAATCTAGTGCAGGGGAAATAAAAACATTGGGTGAGGGATGGGCAGTTTTAGTCACAAACTCATACAGTCRAGCCTGCACTMTGATGAAGAGTATCCTCAYTCCCAGGTCCTTTTCCTTTTGTTTRGAGSCGAGGGCCTGGTGACGACGTTGCATAAAGKCCTGCACAATAATAAATAATGGGACAGACAGCACMGATCGAAAAAAAACTCACGTTAGRTTGAGAAAACAATGGACAAACAATAGATAGATTTTTCAAACAATAAAACAAAACAGAACATAACAATAGAGCTGCTGTACTTAAGCATCAATCAAAAAGSAGGTTTCGATYGGTGCTGTATTACTCTAAATAATAATAGGATTTAATGATAATAAAACATTTGATGTATTTATATTTTAATAATGTATCTGAAATACATGTATAGAGGTACAGAGGCCTTCAAAACACAAGAAAATCYACACTACTACACACAGTACCTTGACGGAGGAGAGTGACATCACTTCCCTTTGACTTGATTCACCTGCTTCTAGTTTTGGAGCAACACCACATAGTCCACATATAGCATCRTCRTAGTTACGGACAGTCAGACATTCATATGCCCAGTAGCCCTTGAAGAGGTGTTGTTCAATATATCTGTTGAAAAAAAGTGCATTGTAGATGTCATATGTACACAATTTGAAGGAAATGAGATAGCTTCATCGTTTATTAACACTAAGGTTCATTCATTTGTTGTATAATAATGTATTTTTGGTTAATTGTAAAGATTGAAAGTTGAATTTCACACAACAACTTTTATTCTAAATTTAAATCATTTTTCTATTCATCCATTCATTCAATCATTCAATAATCACGTCATTCACTTTTCCATTCCTACATTCTCCTTACTTATCTATTTATGCATAATAGTTTCCCATTTTCATTTCTGCTGTCATTCATTCATCCATTCTATTATTCATTAATTGAGTTATTTCTTTATTAATTTCTCCATCTGTGCATTTTTCTCGGCATAAATCTTTCCTTTTACATAATTTTCATATAGTTTTAATTTTTTCATTTATTCATGCATTCATTTACTTCAATTACCACTACTGTGGTCCCAGTTTGTTTGTTTAGCATATGATTTCAGTTTCTAAYATCTACCTGTATTTTTATTTACCTTCTTTTTTCTCCACAAATCTTGAGAGCTGCGGCAGGTGATTTAGCTAGWGTCATACTCATAATAGCCTCTACAGCATGCGAAGGTAAAACACCCTGTTTTACATGCTCTCTGATAAGGAAYAGAATATCKATACTGACTAGGATCTTGTTAGCGATATTAAACAATCCTACAAAAATAGAAATAAAAAAAGACAAAAATGTTATTATTAATTACTGTATTATTTATCAACAGTTAATAATTAAAAGCTCATGAAAATAGCTAGAATTTCCAAAAATATGACAGAGKCATATATTTAAAGTTATCTGCAGTGCACAGTTTAATTTGAAAATTAAGATTTTTTAAGCAGTTTCACTTGCGGCTCTAAATAAAAGCCATTGTGATTGGCTGGCTACAACAATAGGCTCTATTGTTTATGCCTCGTTCTTTAGAGTCAATCTGTGTTGAGGCAACCAATTACCAGCAATGTTCTTTGGAGCTTCTAAATCAATCAATACTGATCTGATAAATTTATCCAAATTTTGGGATTTTTCAGAATGTTGTCTTTCTGAAACATGAGTCACAACGGTTAATGATTTTTTATTGCCTTTTTTCCTATCAATTTCATCTTGTAGTAATAGATGATCTAGATTTAAACTAAAATCTTTAGTCCTAACGCACACAAAAACCTGCATTTTATTGAGAAAACTAGTTTTGTCTTACGACCTTATYCATTCTCAATAAATTGCAGGTTTTTGTGTGCGTAAAGGACTAAAGATTTTAGTTTAAACCTAGATCTATTACTTCAAGATGAAATTTTCTAAGTCCTTTMATGTCAAAGCAATTAATACGTCTAAAATTCTATCAATTTCTAATGCATTTAATGCTTACCTGAAAGCACATCATGATAGCTGTGTATCGCAATACAATTACCACTAGTACACTTCTTTACTTTACAAGTTATGGGAAGTATATGAGTCATAGTKACAAGCCAGCCTTCTCCATTAGATCCCTGTACATTCAAAGGATCAGACARAGGAGATGAACACAAAAGACAAACTTGCTCCTCGGGTTCAAAGTGCGTTTTCCAAGCAACTTCATTGAAGTGTAACTCTATTCTTTTTCCACTTCTCATGATATCAAGTAACGTGGTTGTTGCAGCATTTTTGCTTTCAATGAGCTTRAAAATAGGTTGTAATGCTATTGTATCTTCTGGGATTTTGACAATCTTYTTAAGTARCTCAACTGTRGARTTTCTTTGAATTGTTTTATTTGTKGGYAAGGAAACTGTCTGGACTATTTCAACATTKCCATTATCTAAWGTTTCCTGTGAGCTGCAGTGTATTTGGGCTGCCTGTTGTGGCTCAGTAATGATGTCTGATAATGTTGATGGCTGTGTGTTTAAAGTTGCCCAACCATACAAGCAGTAGTGTACACACTTAGACCTGTAKGGCTTTGCCGCAGTTCTAGATCCATCAGCTCCGCAGCTAAACTTATTTTTCTTATCATTGACTCTTAAGTGAAGCAAACCTAAKGGATTTTTATGAGTCTTTTCACAAACAAGRACATAATTRTTTAGAGAAACACGTTGAATTGGAGGGGTTTTCTTAGCAGATGCTTTCTCCAAGTATTCTCTGAGTTCTTCTTTCATAGAGGAAGGGAAAGGAAGAGCTGGTAGTGCATCTTGTAAAAGTGGCAAAACTTCAGATTCAACAGTTGATTCTTTGGCTGTTTTTACATGTTCACAAAGGAAACAATCYGAGTTGGATATKARWGTTGCACTTCGCTGTATTCTACACTTCTCGTAGTAGCAAATATGAAGGTTGTTCAATGTGCTTACTTGCACAAAACATCGATAGTCTCGACCACGTCTTGAAACCTTGACRGAGTATAATTCATAGTTTTCTGGTAAATCTCCTACTTTGAGTTTGGTTGCRAAACAAATTGAAGTATCTTCCTTGACTGATTCYGATGCACTGCCTCCAAGATARTAACCACATTTTGGGCATGTACTTGGCTTTTTTCTGCATGCATAACTGTACTCACAATTCTGACCTGGACARGTGCCTTTACCTCTTTTTGTTGCTGGTAATAATATCTGCAAAAACAATTAAACTTCTTTATTTTCTAGCATSTAAAAGTGCAGACCTTTTCAAAYTGTGCCTCAACCKGCAGTAACTATATAAAGACAGTGGAAAACATGAAGAGTACAATTCAAGCAGGCTTAGGAATGCATGTATATGAATTACTTTTCATCTTTGCAACCATGTTAACTTTGGACAGACACACTGGCATTACACCATGTCTCCGAATTCTGCCATAATATGAAAACCATGTACATCAAGTTCATATACATGTACTTACAACTGTCTCCTCTTGTTGCGTGAAACTTTCCTGAGGAATTGTGACCGACGAACCTACATCCATACCTCATCTCATTCTGCGGTACAAACATTGTCCATTTTTTTAAAAGCTAAATATAGTTTTCAATACAAGGTTAATAATTCATATGGGAAGTTGTTCTGCATTTTGTAAGCTGTGTAAAAGTTTTTGATAGATATCTCAGCTATAATTATCGTTCAAACCAAGATATTTAGCTTAATCTTCACTCTAGTGAGATATCAGCTGAATGAGAAAAGAGCATCTTGTCAAACGCACTCTATACCACTGGACAACTCATATTTGACGTTCAAAACCACAGCTTAATAAAGAACTCAATATTAGCGTAATTAAAATAGTACAAATATTAGTGTTTACCTTTCAAAGAACTGCTAAACATTTGAACATTTCTTCTCGGAACTCTCAAATCAAAGATGGCGGCAAATTAGCGCGAGGTCTGGGCTAGTTCCAGTCTCTCTCATTCTCACGTTTCATGACCAAAAAAATAAATAAAATTAAATAAGTCGAATATTTCAGAAGAGTTAATTTACAACCACAGCTCTAAATCAACCTGTCAAGAAAATTTAGCTCATTTTCATGTTTACTTAAATAAAATGAGGAAATTAATCAATATCTCAGACGATGTTCAATGTTTTGTCTCTGACTTTTCTTTTACCCAACCACAATGTCCTTCAAAGTAATTGGGGCGTTTCACCGCTGCGCAAAATGAACGCGTTATGGATTTTCCTCTTTACCCACAATCCCTAGAGCGACTATATAATATAAAGTGCGATAAATGAAACATCAGTGCCTAGAGCAATTAGTAGTCAGAGGACACAAACGTGGTGCTGARTTATAACGAAAGATAAYCCAGGTTTTATGGCCAAATTGACCTGACTTTGTCATCAATTGAAGACGTGATGGGCGCCATTCTTTCTCAAAATTCTACTCCGAAACTGAAAGGTGAAGGTTCCTCTCTCATAGAAATCCAAGAGCTACCTGACGATGAACTTTCTAGAGAAGCAGAGGTAGGGAAAGTATAACTGATGTTTTATGAGATTTCTTCGGCGAAAAAAATGAAGAATGATGGAGTGTTTGTCATAGCTTATAGTGTTATATTTTGTACTTGCGGTTGGAGTTTTTTTTATTGGTTCAGTCCTCGGTTGAATAGCCTCGAGGCAAACTAAAAATCTACTGTAGAGTTTCGTTTCATGAATATTTCAAAACCGGTGTTACAATTGTATGAAGATTTCATCGAGTCAGTAAATGAAAAGAATAGAAAAAGGAAAAATTTCGCAACACTACAGTGAACCGCAGACACTGCCATACAAAAGCAGCTACAGCAATTCATCATAAAATACAAAGAAACTTTTTAAAATTTATACTAGAAGTTTTTGTTTATTTTAGAAAATAAATGACTATTTTAGAGTTAGTTCTTCTTTGGTCTTCACATTCAATTCAAAATATCCAGCAGCGAAGAGTTTCGCATATATAATAGCTCGAGCCGTAAATGCTGTGTTAAAAATTTCAGCTTGGTAATACTGGACTGAAAAATTTATGATATATTCTCATCSTTGTACATGCACTTTGTTTTTAATTAAGTCTGTAAAAATATATCTGTTATGTCGGCCGGGCAATTCCTGTAGCGTTGCTGTAGTTTTAATCTGACGATGCTTGTGAAAGATCAAATAAAGATAACGGTCGATTTYTTTTGGAATAAACAGCTCCACCGGTATGAAAACATATAGATTGGCGAGATGTTTGATAAAAATCGGCTTATTTTTCCCGTTGGACAAAGTGTATTTCAAAATGCGTCTTCGTTTGATCTGTCSTCTTGATTRCGATTATCAATTTTACATTTGTACATCGTTCACCTGTTTTTAACCGCTCGTTTTTATTGAGTATTTTCTCGTCAGAAGGATTGCTTTGTACCTGTTCTAACCTATTTATAGATCTAAACTGTTAGGTATAAAACTACTCAATTTTGCAGTATTTTTCAATCTATGACCTTAAATATAAAGCGATAATTAATACGGAAAAAACGGCCGCTTTTGTATTCCGAAACGTTGATGCATAATTGTCATGTTTTGAAAACACCTTTCCGACTGACAACGGTAGACGTTTCTACCWTTGCTGAACCGACACTCCTCTGAAAAGTGTTAATCAGTTAACACAGACAATGTCGAAAAATTAAACTATTTTCATTTATGAAAAAATAGCCGCAATTGTGGGATGAATTACATCATTTACAGGCCTGCTCTATGTATTCATATATTTGTAACCAATCTCGAGTCGAAAACTGTAATTGCATTCAGAAAGTCACTGAAATATAGGTACTACCACAATGGCGGCAATTTTGATCGGCCAAAGCCCGCCTGATCACGAGAGGGCATTGAATAAAAGAAACTGCTCGGCTAAATCATGTAGAAAAAATAAAAGTAGATTGTGATCTATAGGTGAGCCAATATTTGAAGAAAAACAAAAAGGATACGTTTAACTAACGAACGATCAAAATGAGATTAGAACTGTATTATTTGGTTTTGTAATTTGTCAATGTTGTCAAAACGGGAGTATAATATGTATATTTTTAACGCGCGAGACCCTTATGATTACAAACTACCGATCATTGAACTTAAGATTGTCACTTTTACTATATAATAAATAGATAATCAGCATTTTTTTAAGAATTTTTTCTATAGAATATCAAGAATATCTTCAATTGACCGCAAAGTCGTGGGGTGCACTCTAGGAATCGAAAAAATAATTCAGCAGGAGACATTGGAGTGTTTTTAAAATTTGAAGTTGACAGAATAGATAATGCTTTCTTTTTCTTTTTAAATTTTTCAAACATAAAAAGATGAACTGCCKTGGAGTATTGATGAAATAAGGCGGAAAACAAGGTGGGCAAGACAAGGAAAACCCTAAAAATCATAAACAAAACTAGTGATGTTTTGAATTCAACAGCGAGTGCGTGCTCTCGAGTACATCCCCCAGCGATAAATTTCATCTATAAACCAGTGCAACGCATGCCTCCTTCTTAATTGCTTTCAAACTTTTATAACGTTGTAAGCAGAATTCCCTCTAAATTACGCRTTCGCACAGTACCAGTAAGTTCTTGGTATCACGCTGTAAGGATTCCAACCTTTTTCCTAGTGATTTATAGATGCTCCCATGGATTAGGAATACGAAAATATATATATATCATATATTCATGTACCGCCAGTCGTGTGGTTCCATTATTCAATCCACGCAAAGTATGATCTTTGATCCCTTTTCGATTAAAAAGCTCGAAGTTAGACATGTCAAACAATTTCAAATATTGATAATAAATGGGTTTAGATATACTGTTCAGGTTAGCCTCGCTTCTTCGAATATTTTTTTATGTAATACTATCTTAATAAAGAAGAACTAGATTCTCATCTATCATACGGTAATTGGTACAGTTCTTATGAAGGTTTTACAAATTTAGTATATCTTGTACCCTGATCTTTTTGTGGTTTGCAGTGGTATCAAATACCCGCAGAAAGATAACAGAGGTTGCGAAATGGGATTGAAATGGGAATATTATTTCTACTTTAGCCTGAATTATTATGCTTGTTGGATTGAATAGTTACTTTTTTTGTTTTTGATGGTCAGATTGAACTTGCCAACTGTTGCGGCACTTGATACACAACGAAAATAGGATCAACTATATTAAAACGAATTAAAATCTAACATAAATAATATTTATATTGTGATTTCATTGAATTTATTACGTAACGTTTCTTTTTGATTTATCTAAGGATGTACTGAAAATGAACGAAGTCCTTCGCTGTCCAACCGATCCTGCAGCAAGACAATTCGTCAAAACATTTCAGCAACTTCAAAAACAGAAAGAACAATTCCACATTCAGCTTCACAATGAAGTGATTCAATGGCGGCTCATGTACCAACGAGGAATATCCAATAAATTTGAACGAAACAAAAAAGTTAACATGCTGATACAGGAGTTTGTTAAACTGCATGAGCAACTTGATGAATTTCTTGAGCAAGAGCGAAGAAACTTGGAGCGAATTCTCCCAAAACCACGATATTTTATGCCCGCAGGAACTGACGCGGCGAAGAAAAAGTGTRCCACTGAGCATGGCGAATGCAGCAAAAACCGGAATACTAAAAATAAMGATGAGAGCCTGGAATTGACACCTGAGGCCATGCAGAGACTTGTTTGCTTTCAAAAATGTAATGATCAACATATTCTCSTCCTGACGCAGGTTCTATCAGATATAGAGGACTGCAAAAAATTTGCAAAAGCACAGTCTAAACCTTCGGCCCCGACTGTACTTACAAAGCAAACGAGCTTGACGGAGTCCGCAGAGCTTTCTACAAATTCTAGACCCGTTGCAATTACAGTGTCTACAGATTCGGAAGAGAATTAATAAGACTGTTRACTGGAGGTTGAACCTTTGAGCGAAGTGATATATAGAGAGTTTAGTTAGTCTCATGACCAGTTCTTATCAACCAAGAACTTAAACTGAACAAAATAAAAGAGAAGGAAATACAAAGCGGAAAAAAACGCGTAGCAATTGCATCACTGACTTATGGATGCATGTGTTTAGAATCATAAGAGAGAATCAATGTATCATAAATCTCAACGCGCGCATACGTTGTCGCGGATTTATGTAGCCCGCATTACATCGTATCAAGAGAGAATACAGAGAACTAGAGGATTCCGGATTCCAAGCGCTGGATTCCGGATTCCGAAACATTGGATTCCGGATTTCAAGCCTTGGGATTCCGGATTCCAAAGAATTTTTGTTTTGGATTCTGTATAATAAATGGCCTGATTTTCAGGGTTTTTTTCCTGAAAATTTTATATTCAGCGTGTCAGTAGCCTGCGCAGGGGAGTCAGCGGGACGATGTCCTAGGTGTTTTTTAGATATCAAATTTTTTGCTGGATTCCATGGATTCCAAATATTTGGATTCCGGATTCCAGGATAGGGATTCCGGATTCCAAAGCTGTTTTTTTAGTGGATTCCGGATTCCRGATTCTCTTACACGGGGCGAAAGATTTCCGGACAATAACCAGATCAAAATATCGATGGAATAATTAGCTGTACCTAGCAGTACGGTGACTCAGTCATTATTYAGCTGTCAGTAACAGTGCTACTAGAATATACATCATTGTATAAATATATCCCAAGAGCTGTACAGTCGTTTTCTCGAACTGCAAATATAATAAATATCTATGGATTGGACATGAACTCTATTAGCGCGCCCGGTGTAAAACTGTTTATTCACCCTACTACAACTTACCCTGATGAAAACATAGAAATGCGCGCKCCACTACTTGTAAAAAAAATAGGCACTCGAGGACTGCATGTGACTCAGCTCAGGCCATCAAGTGATTTAGTAAATTCGAATACACTATTTTCAGTATACAACGTTTTCTGAATTATTTGTATAGGCTGCAAGGGAATGGACGTGGCCGATAAATACACAAGAGCCGGTGATTCCCAGGGGCCAAGGAACCTATTGATCATTCCCGCCTCCCTTGGGGGTCTGACGCATGGCGCCCTGTACTGTGCTGCCTACAGCAAACATATCCATCTGAAAGATTTGGAGAAGGGCTTGTTATCACGACATGGATTCCTTAGAKCTTTAATTTAGCTGTATTTTCCCTTGAAGAGATTTTAACAGGACAGTGTTAAACGAAAATGTGGAGCGTTCGAGTGTAACGTTGAAGTTTCCGAGGTCTTAAATTGCTCCGTTCAACCCCGGCAAATCTTTGGCAACAGCTAGTACCTGTATCTGCTAGSCCGCCTAGCGGCTGTCTTCTGTTCTGTAAACCACCTGTAAGGAATTTAAAGAAATTTTTTTCGTGGTGTTCATCCGAATGGTAATGTCCGTCTGATATAAGAACTGTGCACTTTTAGATTTCCTGCGATGATTTGGAAAACAATAACGTCAGTTGATTAGCTCGATGAAAGGCGTCACAGTTCATCGAGTACATCGGTATTCGGCCGCAAACCAGCATTCGGAACCCATCCCCACCCCCATTAAATAAATAAATCCACTGAAGAATGATTATGCAAAGCCTGTATCGTTTGCTATCCCCAACTGAGCTCTAGCTGATTGGCTCGCTGATCCCTAAGGATTTTGGTGACGTCAATATTAGCATAGATCTTCACCGAATAGACTACCCCAATTAGATATTAGAYAWCCATAAGTGTCTTCATAGTACGATGGTCTAAGAGGGTAGCTAAARGTATGCTCTAGTGGGCGGCTACCCCCTCACTCCCTGGCCTTTTGGTWAAGACTAAGTTTTATGTTCACTCGGGATAGCGTGGAAGAGCCGAAATCTCTAGCCGTAACGTAAGCCGATTCGACGCCTCAGCTTCACAGAATGTCTCGGGGGAATCGTCCCATCTTTTCAGCTTTTTTTTATTTTCATTATTTCTTATGTATTCCGGGGGGGTACGTCTTTTCCTGAAGTGAAAGTCCTGAGTTCGAGTCCTGCTTCTGGAATTTCTTTTTTTTTCTTGTTTCTTGTTTCTTTTTCTTTTGTTTCCTGTCATGTTTCTTTTTTGCTTTCTTTTTTTCTTTTTCTTTTCTTCTTATTTCTTTGCTGTTGTTTTTTTTCCTCTGTAGATTTTCTCTTTTCAACTACTCGCAAGGAACGCCTGCTACAAGTGGATGGTTACGCGGTTCCGGTCACTCAAAACGTGACATAATGACAGGAGGACCCATAAGGCCTCAAAAAGTCATATAAATCAAGTGAATATTAACAAAGCTTGATGGAGGATTAAAAAACCAAAAAAAACTATAATAATTAGAGAGTGGTAACTGTACAGGATTTGTTAACATTTATTTATGTGACTTGCATATATCCTCTATATATTGTGTTTAAGCATCGGTGAACCGGCTGCGCTATTTTATATTTTCGTTTTTAGTTATTTTTTTTAGTTATTTTTTTGTATATTTTGTATACGTCCGTCCAGGCGTACGCCCTCCCTTCAACATMTCAAGCTACAGCCAACTTGAAGTGCTTCGGCGTCCAGACGTGATGTAAAATCCGTGCTCCCGCATGTGGGAAAAAGTGCTTTTCTTGTTCGCRCATGAGTACACATGTACTCAATACCTCACGAATAGATTTCAATATGAGTTTGAGAAGTCGTTCAAAGACCTCGCAAAAAAGGACTTTATTGCTGGCTGTCAGTTAAAAAACGTTACTTGAAAGGCTTTTTTATGCACAGTCCACGTTCTGCTTCCGTGCAATTTCGTATGTACAATTCCTAAGCTAGCTTTTAGCAATAAATTTATTAACTGACAACCGAGAAAAATATCACTTTGCACTTTACGCTTCGCGTCTTGAAAGCGAAAATGGCTGCGAGAGACTACTATTTTGTCCTGAGAATGAGCTCACAATCATTGTGTACAGCGGTAATTTCATTAGCTCATGCTTCTTGATAATTTTATTTCCGTTTGCCGTTTTGGCAGCACACCACAAAGTTGTTCACAATACAGATAATATTGTACATTAACCTCTTCTATACNTCAAGCTACAGCCAACTTGAAGTGCTTCGGCGTCCAGACGTGATGTAAAATCCGTGCTCCCGCATGTGGGAAAAAGTGCTTTTCTTGTTCGCACATGAGTACACATGTACTCAATACCTCACGAATAGATTTCAATATGAGTTTGAGAAGTCGTTCAAAGACCTCGCAAAAAAGGACTTTATTGCTGGCTGTCAGTTAAAAAACGTTACTTGAAAGGCTTTTTTATGCACAGTCCACGTTCTGCTTCCGTGCAATTTCGTATGTACAATTCCTAAGCTAGCTTTTAGCAATAAATTTATTAACTGACAACCGAGAAAAATATCACTTTGCACTTTACGCTTCGCGTCTTGAAAGCGAAAATGGCTGCGAGAGACTACTATTTTGTCCTGAGAATGAGCTCACAATCATTGTGTACAGCGGTAATTTCATTAGCTCATGCTTCTTGATAATTTTATTTCCGTTTGCCGTTTTGGCAGCACACCACAAAGTTGTTCACAATACAGATAATATTGTACATTAACCTCTTCTATACTCAAAACCAGCCTTGCCGGTAGGGCTTAGTGTCATTATGGGGAACCGAGGAATGGAGGAATTGATCCCGATTGTCAACAAAATCCAAGATGCTTTTGCATCAATCGGGTAYTCATCGATGATCGATCTTCCTCAAATTGCCGTGGTTGGTAGTCAGAGCGCTGGAAAAAGCAGTGTTTTGGAAAACTTTGTTGGGAAGTAAGGGCAATCGGAAAATCTGATTMCGATATTTGAACATGTATACGATAAATTATTGTATTTTATGTTTTTTTTTGTCTACAGAGACTTTCTTCCAAGGGGATCGGGAATAGTGACACGAAGACCTTTGATTCTACAACTTTATCCATCAAATTCAGGCAAGTTTTGCCGTAAAATATAGTTTTTCTTTGTCCTAGAGATGGTATCGAAACCTGTTTTACTAGTTTAGATATCTCTTTTGCACTTTTTAAAGCTATTATATAAAGCTAGGTTTTCTGGCAATGTAAACCGTGCTAAAATCATGTCAACGTACGAGCGATAGTGCCATTTCTTAACAACTCAATATTGTTTATTAATCCAACTACAATACGCTTCAGTTTTTACCTTTTTTTTTTACCTTTATAATACACAATGCTGTCATCTTGTTATTTTTAAAATTAGAGAAAGAGATCGCTTGTAACAATCATTCCGAATGAATTGTGATGATGTGACCAGTGCCATAAATAACGATGACAATTCGATTGTATTTGATTTGATTTGCATAAACGTATAGTTTTATAAGGCTTAAAAAATGTCCATATTGAAAAGAATAACATCAAAAGGTGTTGTTTACATTTTAGTCTCTKCTTTCTATGTACTAGAAAATTTCTAAAATTTCTAAAATTATGAATATTTTTGTTTTCATTATCAATATATTAACGATTCAAAAMTTAAATTAAATTATGATTTCATTCTTACATTGCTTATTTTATCAAAATCATACAGAATATGCAGAGTTCCTYCATTGCAAGAACAAGAAGTTTACCAACTTTGAAGATGTGCGCAAGGAAATTGTGGCAGAGACAGACAGAGTTACTGGGGGGAACAAAGGGATCTCAAATGTACCAATTAATCTTAGAGTCTATTCTCCAAATGGTAATCCAACACTTAAATCACATCTTAATTGCTATATTACCATTACTCATCTTGTCTATGTTTGACAGTACTTAGTCTTACCCTGGTTGATTTGCCTGGAATGACTAAAGTACCAGTYGGTGACCAACCAGCAGATATTGAGTTCCAAATCAGAGCAATGCTGTTTGAATTCATCTCAAAAGAGAACTGTTTRATTCTGGCTGTTTCTCCTGCAAACACTGACTTGGCAAATTCTGATGCTCTTAAAATTGCCAAAGAAGTGGATCCTCAAGGTGGGTAGTGTGATGGTGATGACGATGATGATGATGATGATCATGATGTTGATGATGATAATGATGATGATAATTATGAAGATGAGTCACTATCATTACAGTAATGATTGTAATCAAGCGAAAGTGTCACCTTTTTATTATTCAAATCTCTAAAATTCATATTTCAGCACATCTTTGTCAAATGTTTAAAAGCATTTTGCTGTAATTATTGAAACTAGATTTGATTGCTTCTAATATGCACAGGTTCACGTACGATTGGTGTGATTACTAAACTGGATTTGATGGACAGTGGCACAGATGCTAAGGATATTCTAGAGAACAGAGTCTTCCCTTTAAGAAGAGGTGGTTTGGTTTTACCCAAATTATTTCTCCACTTTCAAGTTATTTTAAGCTCCATAATTGTATGCATATTGTTGAAATATGCTGTCTTCATGCACGCAATTGTCTAGAATTTCAAAACATATTTGCTGTGCAATGATAAAGGAGTACAGTGCTTATTTTCAAGGGCTTATTTTGTATAACTAATTGGAAATAACTAACTGTGTTTTTATCTTCTTYGATACAAGGCTATGTTGGGATTGTAAACAGAAGTCAAGCTGATATTGATGGAAGAAAGGATATCAAGGCCGCYGTAGCATCTGAACGCAAGTTTTTCCTTAGTCACCCTTCTTACAGGTGAGAAAACTCGTTTTAAACTACCATTTTTTTATATTATTTGTGTACAACACATTACATGTAATATTGAATTAAATATTTATTGCTGGTAGGCACATGGCTGATAAGATGGGTACTGCATATCTTCAAAAGGTTCTAAACCAGGTTGGTAACTGATTGAAGAAGCATTGAACGCATTGTGATATACTTTAATTATACTATTCTTATCATGATAACTCTGTCACCAGCAATTGACCAATCACATTAAAGATACTCTGCCAGAGTTACGTAGCAAGTTGCAAGACAATGTGTTTGCTTTAGAGAAAGAGGTGAAAGAATATGAACACTACAATCCAGAGGATCCTTCTGTCAAAACTAAAGCTATGATGCAGTAAGTAGTTTTGGGATTTCTGTGTAGAAGTCCGAGTTTCCCAAAAAACATTTTTGTAGCTTGTGTAAAACTGGTTCTCTATCACGCTGAAAAATGATGCTGCTTTCATTAAACGCTTTGTGTTTGAAAAGAGGGCACAGATTTGGTTGATCAACAAATACAACTCTAAGTACAGACTGAGACCTTTTAAATCTGGTTTAAACCTGTACTAAACCACCGTTATTATACTGCATTTTATTCATCAGAATCTCAGAAAAAAATACAACTAAGGAAATGCTTCTTTTCTTCAACAATTGAGGGATGGTTTTCAAAAATCCTCTGCTTGCAACTACTTTCTCACAAAAAATTAATTAATTTTGAATATGTTTACAGAATGATACAACAGTTCAGTGCAGACTTTGAGAAAGCCATTGAAGGATCTGGTGACAGCATCAATACAATGGAACTATCAGGTGGAGCCAAAATCAACAGAATATTTCATGAAAGATTTCCTTATGAGCTTGTCAAGGTTTGGATGAATCCATGAACTTACATAAACCTATCTACAATTGAAAATAAGATGGTATTGCAATGTTTTGCTATTCTCATGTCATGGAATTTTATAGGTTGAGTTTGATGAGAAACAGTTAAGGAGGGAAATCATGTTTGCTATCAAGAATATCCATGGTATCAGGTAAAGCAGCAAATTATTGATGGAAATAATGATACATGGCTTTCTTTTAAGAAAAAAACATTCAAATATTCAATGTGGGAGTCCTGTGTCGGAAACACACAGGAATCCCRCATATCTAGTRTGAATTGTTTTCTCATAGGGTTGGCTTGTTYACTCCTGATATGGCCTTTGAAGCAATAGTCAAACGACAGATTGAAAAGCTTCGTACACCTGCGATCAAATGTGTGGATATGGTGATGACTGAACTGGCTAATGTACTCAGAAAGTGTGCCAATAAGGTAATCATAAACACAAACATAAGCAAATCAKAAGTAGATTACATTAGGAAAATGAAACATCYTTGATCCATGTCACTGTAAACCTTTTTTTTATGCTTATATGCTTAATTTACAGTGTAGGAATATTAGTTCAGAGGATTGCTCAAACAGAAGCCTTCTTTTTGATTTAAATATAAGAATTGTTGGAATTTGTACAAAAGATATGTGATAAAACAACATTAACATTGCATTCTGGGATTATTTCAGATGACAAAATATCCTTTACTAAGGGATGAAGTGGAGAGGATCGTTATTGATCACATACGAAAAGGAGAGATCAAGTCAAAAACACAGGTACATTTCCCTGTAATTATCATTACTCTCTGACTAGTTAGTTTCTTTCTCTTTCTTGTTTTACTTTCTTTCCCTTCTCTTTTTGTTTTCCTGTTTCTTATTCATTCATATAAAATCCTTMAATCCCATTTATCATTTTCCACTTCCTTTTTCCCTCTTTCTTCCCATTCAACCATTCCTTTCTTCATTCCCTTTTTCCCTGTTTAGATTGATACATTTGTGGAGCTAGAATTAGCGTACATCAACACCAACCACCCTGACTTCATAGGATATGCTGAGTAAGTACATGCCCACCTTGTTGGGTTTCCTGTGGCAGCACAGGCAGCCCACCTTGCTGTGTTTCCTGTTGCAAAAAGATGACAATAATGTCACTGGTCAAACCTTCTTGTGTAAAGGAGGTGTTAAACTTATTTGCTTGTGATATGTGGTGTACAGACTTCATTTGACAGTTTTTGTCTGCTAAATAAAGATTTATCATCAGGATATATTTATATATCATTATTGGTATAATTATACTCTTTCCTTATGCTGTCTTAATTTTTTGTAATCTTATTTTGTCTCTGTACTTAATATATAGAGCACAAGTAACTTCATCGTCTGCTGTTGAACGAAAAAAGCGCAATATTTCAAACCAGGTCAGCAGAAACACTTTCTCCTTTACAACTATTATTATTCTATTATAGTGAAGTCTACTAAAAACATTTTCATTGCATCTTTTTGAAAGATTGTATCAAAATAAAGCAGAATAACTCAGTGTTAAATAACTCAAAATGATTTGAAGTTACAGACTGAAGTCACTAAGATCTGTTTAATAATATGCATTAGACTGCTGCAGTTTTTTTATCATTATTGCTACGATTGTAGGTTATACGAAAAGGATGGCTCTCTGTGGCTCAGGCTGGTTTTATGAAAGGCGTTGGTATGGGTTCCAAAGAATACTGGTTTGTCCTGACAGGTAATAACCTCAAGCAACGTATTTTCACTCATGCATTCTTTAATCTTATTGTGGTCTTGCGAATTGAATCTGCAATTCCATTTTTCAGCTGAATCACTCGCGTGGTACAGAGATGAAACTGTAAGTACTGTTTCTAATTATAAGTTCCTGTTGTTTTATAGTTTTGTAAGTAAATATGGTATTGGGGCACAGATRAATGGTGTTGAAGGAAATTATTTTCTCTGTTTACAGGAGCAGGAAGCCAAATATCAGCTGCGTTTGGATGGAGTGAGACTGAGGGATGTAGAGGCTGGTTTCATATCTAAAAAGGTCGCATTTGCACTCTTCAACCCAGATACAAAGTACGTAATAACTTCCTTCAATCAAACTAATATTTAATGTAGTTATTATAGGAATAGATATTAATTATCATATTTCTTTTTAAAAAATCAGAAATTTGTTCAAAGACCACAAGCAACTCGAGTTATCTGCTGACAATCAGGAGATAGTAGACAGCTGGAAAGCGTCTTTCCTTCGAGCAGGAGTCTATCCTGAGCGTTCATCTTCAGAAGATAAAAGTTTGGTAAGAAAGTAAAGCAAATACCTCGTTTTTGAAGTTTTTAAACTTAAAAAGGCTGTCAACCTCTATAACACAATGTATTTGACCCAAGAAAATGTACATCAAATGCCTTAACCACGACTGTCTGATGTTCTAGGGAGAAATMGGAACACTTGACCCTCAAATGGAAAGACAAGTCGAAACAATTCGCAATTTAGTGGATTCGTACATCAAGATCGTCAGCAAGACAGTCAGAGATCTGGTGCCGAAGACTATCATGTTTATGATATGTAATAATGTAAGTTTGGGATAAAACTAGGGGAAAAGTGAATAATTTATTGATTAATTAAGTGATGATTGATTTGTTAGTTGATTGATTGGTTGGTTGTTTAGTGGTGTTTTTTTTATTAATTGTTTAAGATAAGTAAAGGCGAATAAATGATTAATTTAGTAAATAATTTAGTAAACAAGAACATTTTGGAGTGGATAAAAAATGAATGGATAAATCACTGATTTATTTCGAYGGTACTAAAAATCAGAAAGAAGCACGAAAATTGATGACCAAGTTGATCAGTTAATCAAATAGACCTAAAGTTTTACTGGTTTTTTTTTCAGATTAAAGAATTCATCAATTCAGAGTTGCTTGCCCACCTATATTCCACTGGAAACCATGTAAGTATTAAGCATCTTCAAAGTTTTAGATGGCAAGGAATTTTGACAGAGTTTTGAAAAATAATTCAAGACAGTTTTCTCAAACACTTACGTACATTCCTACGTATTATTACGTACTCTTGCTTATTCTTATGCATTCCTACGTACGTATTCTTACAATTTCTAAATATTGTTATCTCAGAATAGCATGATGCAAGAAAGCGAAGACGAAACGCTACGACGAGAAGAAATGATCAGAATGTACCGAAGTACAAAAGAAGCTTTGCAGATAGTGTCTGATATCGACAGCCACACCAACAGYACACCCCTCCCCCCTCCCATCACGTCTGACGATATGGACTACAGGGGTCAGCCCAATCCAAGCCCGAAACCAAGTCGTCGACCAATGTCTACCCCTAGCTCTAGACCTACAGCTCCTGCACGGCCTGCTCCTTCAAGACCAGATGCACCGTCTGTCCCCAGGTAATCTTTGTGATGTTTTTAAACATAAAAAAACTAACAAAGAATATATCGTATTGATGTGGTTCAGTGGTTAAATACAATATGCTGGGATGCTCGTATAACTCAAAATAGTGTTTTAAATATTGATGTTATTTATAAACTTATTTTGTAGGAGRCCGCCAGCACCACCCAAGCCAAACGGTGCACCCCCAATTCCAGGAAGACCACCCATTCCTTCCCGACCTTCTTAGCAATCGAGATGAAGTAGGTGYTGTATAATTTTAGTTCTGATTCAGCAAATCACTGATATTAGTGATAACATAACCGATAAATGGAATTGTAGTATAGCCATAGTGAATGTATCGCAAATATCAAATAACATTTTTGAATGGCTTTATAATTAATCATCGWGGAAAACGCTCCYKAGCAATCCCAGAAACTAACCCCGAATTTTGTAATTTTTGAGATGTTGYACCCGATGAAYATTTGCACAGTTACCCAATTCCAAGTGAATTTGTATCAAGTTGATTAAATGGTAAATTATGTACATGGAATAATAATAAAAATATGTATTTTCTAACGGTATGGAATGGATTAAGGATGGTGTTGTGTTAAGGTGTATTATACCATGGCGTGGTGGGTATATAATTGATTACTAACAAATAAATCGATTTAATTGCATAAACTTAAGTAGTGACATACTGTAATGCACAGAAAAGTGTCTCAGGTCTCTTTCATCGCTGCGTTTTTCTGACTATTCTCTCTCCCCAAGGTAAAAAACGCAAGAWYTAAAAGGCTATAATAATACGTGGCCTAGACCTTATAAATGTAAATATTGGTTAGCAACACTCATATTTATATGGAGGCACTAGCAATAAAGAGATACTGTTTCCTATACTGCATGGCATTGCGATGAATATGATAGTATATATTCGTTTTAAATTGTCATGCTTTATTTATATTCAAAACTACATGCGAAATGTTTATGTTGTTTGCACAAGTTCTTCCACACAAAGAAATTAAATGAAATGCAAATAAAATAATATAATAAGCTTAGGAGTTTTATAAAATATCTTGATATCTGAAAAACTGTACAAACCAATATATTGTATCTATAAACGCCATATAAACATCTGAAAAAAGTATTATGTATACTGTAAATAAAGAAACTTAAATACTTCTAATGTAAATGAATACAACTCTATGAAGACTGATGAAAAACTATTTAGTAATATTTACAACCTTTCAGCAATAATATCTACAACATCTGAAGATTTAGGCGCATTATTATCGACATTTTTAAAGGATTTCATAAGTACAAGGGTATGATTCCCAAGACATAACTAGAAAAGATCTATAATCTTAATCTATATCTAACTATTGTAAAGAATTGTCACTAATGTCCATTAACAGACCGTTAAGCATGTTGAAGAACAAATAAGTACAAGGGTATGATTCCCAAGACATAACTAGAAAAGATCTATAATCTTAATCTATATGTAACTATTGTAAAGACTTATCGCTAATGTCCATTAACAGACCGTTAAGCATGTTGAAGAACTTCTTGACACCTTTGCATTTTGATTTTCTTGAACTTGGTATTGCCGAATTGGTCGTTTTAAACCTTTATAAATGAAAAAGAAAATTATCAATTAAAATTAATAGTAATTATTAATTAATATGAATGAGGAGGTACCTTTTTGATTCCTCCGGATCTGAAGAGCGCGGTCTTTCTGTGCTTCTACATTGTTTCCCAGTTTGATTTGAACAGATGCAATTTTTTCCAAGACCATTGCTACTTCGGGATGACTATCTCCACACGTTTCCATTATCTTCAGGGACCTGTTGTAGTGCACCAATGCCAGATCGGGCTCCCCAGTTGCCTCCAAGACAGTTCCTAAATTTCTCTCAAATCGACCGAGTTTGGGATGAACCTTGCCTCCAGTTTCCTTATTCCAGATATCAATGGCATTTTCATGGCATTCCTTGGCTTCTGCGTATTCTTGTCGTTCATAATACACCATTCCTAGATAATCWGTAGACTCGGCTACGTTGATTAAATCTTCTCCAATACGCCGAAAAGTTTCGCAAGCTTCCAGACTGTATTGTTTGGCGTCATCCAATTTTCCCAACCGTCGACATACGATTCCTTTATTGCAGTATATATAGGCTAGTATGCTGTTATCATTGTCGTACATCGATGCTGCGATGGTGAAGGCTTCTTCGAGTAACTTCTCACCCTCTTCTGCTTTATTAATTTCAGAGGCTACAAATCCCAAGTTGCACAAAGACTGCGATATCTTTGGGTTATTTAGCTTTCTGCGCAAGAACAATGCCTTTTGTAGATTGTCGTAGGAGCCATRAAAATCACCAAGTCTGTATGCAATAGTTCCTAAAGAATTAAATGCCAGAGCCTTCATTTCGGGGTCGGACTTTGGATGACCTTCAAGTATTTGAAGAGCGTTCGTTAAGGAAGCTTTCGACTCCACTAAATTTCCTTTTCTTTCGTGAACCAGTCCTAGAGTGGTTAGGACTTGTGCAGTACTGACCATCTTTTCGCTGTCTTCGGATGGTAAGCTCTCTAGAATTGTTAACGCATCTGAACAGCATTTCTCAGCTTCATCCCCACTGCCAAGGTGCAAATGACAGTTGCCCAACTTACTTTTTGTGAGAGCAACTTTCAAATGCGTCTTTCCATACGCTTTTTCGCTTATTTTAAGTGACAACTCGAAAAAYATTAGAGAGGTTTTGTGTTTGTCGTAGGTAAGGCAAAAATGGCCAAGTTCTTCGAGGCAATCTTCAGGCATCATGTTCTTTTCGAGATTGAGAAATCCTTCCGGATTTTCAGCAATGCAATCTGCCATCTTTGTTAAATGGTGGAACCACATCTTCTTCCTCATGACACTTGATGCATCCCATGACTTGTCCAATGGTTTGTAGTAACTTTGGAACGCCATTAAAATACCTGAAAGTGTTCTAAGATAAGATGAACTTTCTGACAGGCTTTCCTTGACCAAGCTTTCAAAACTGCGCTGAACRACCTGATGTCGTGCGATGAGCTTGTCAACAGTTTCTCCTTTGATGTCATCGAGAAGCAAGTGTGAGCAAGATTTTAGCTTGCCCCTAACAACCCCTTCATCCAGTTTGGAGTCACATTGTATAACATACTGGACAACAAGTTCCAGTGSTACTGGCTGTTCCAGTGCGCAGAATCCAAGAAACGTAAACGCTTTCTTCAAAACTGGGTCGTCGTCCCACATGTATCGTGAGAACATCATCACGGCATTTGTCATGGTTTTACCATAGTTTCCAGAGCTTGTTTCCAGGTAGAGTTGGTCAGTGTATTCGTGCTTACCATCCTTGAGTTTGGTCACGTACTCTTTCCAGCTTACACCAGCCTCTTTCACGTATACCGCTGCGCTAGCAAGAGCCAGTGGTTGACCGTTGAGCGCGTCCAGAACCTCTGATATGTTATCTGCATGGACGTTGGATACAGAAATTAAAAGATGTTCAGCATCTTTCTTGTTCATCCCGTTGCTAAGGCATAAACTATCAGTGAACCTGTTTTTGCTAGGGACACTTCTCTTGTCTTGGGTCGTAACAACCACTTGACCACAGCCCCAAGTAAGATCACCGGGCTGGGGCCAGTACTCCTTGAAACTGGCACTCTTTGTGATGTTCTCAACGATAAGAAGCCATGAATGATGCTTTAATCGTAAACGAACTAAATTGGACAAAATCTTCAGACTCTTTTTGCTCTTTTCCACATCTAAGACTTGCATAGCGTTGCTAACCTTTTCTTCATCACAGCCGAGATCAGAAGCAAGCTTACCGAATGAGTCAACCATCGTTGTTGTGTCCTCGGCGTTGAGGGTCGCAATAACTTTAACTCCATTGGATTTATAATGCTTTAATCCAAATTGCCGTGCAACTTGTGTCTTTCCGCATCCTGCATTTCCATAGATGTAGAAGACACTGACTGCGCCATCATCCGAATTTGACATTTGAAGCTGTCTTAGTCGACTTGACACATCTTCAACCTCGTGCTCTCTGTACGTGTACTCATGAGAAGGAGGGAGAGGAAGGTTGCAGATTTTAATGGGGTCCGCGTTCTCCAGCGAAGTTGGTCTTTTAGCAAATTGCTTCTGACTTACTATAAATCGTACTTCTTCAGCGATCTCGGGAAAGCCGATACGTTCAAAGTTATCTGCAATAGTTTTAGCTTTGGAATGCAGGTCATGATCGGAGAGCTTTAATATTGGATTGTGGGAATACTCATTTCGAATTTTCTTCAGTGCAAATACTGCTCTTGACAATTCATAGGGTGGATGGAGGGACAAAATGGCGCCGCATAGCACCGTGCAGTCCCATTCCTCGATTCTCGTATACCTGAATTTTTCTAAGTCTTTGCTTAAAGGAAATTTACTCAGCATTGAATTGTAAAGAGCATCGCGATCGTATTGCGTGTCATTCCATTTACTTTTCCTACTCCAAAGCCACTCATCTCTAAAGATATCCCTTAATCCCTTACATCCTGTTTGTATGATATCGCAAAGTTTGAAATTATTCAATTCCTCTTGATGGTATGTCATGGTCGTCTGATTCTTTGTTTACATCTCAAACAGGTTTTTGCGACTCAAACGATGTAGTAAATTATTACCCTAAAAGTGAATGAATTAAAAAATCTTAGGACAAAAATTGTCAATAGCCAAAGTAACCCCTCCCAGCTCGTTTGGGTCACCACTCGTAAGATTTTTCGCAAAAACTAATGAAAAAAAAACTAAGAAAAAAAAATCGTGCATTTAAGAAAACACATGATGATTTATAAAACCCTCAAAGTCAAAGAAACTTTTTTGCATAAATAGGCGTACCATTTAAACAAATAAATATAAAAAAACACGTACAAATATATCAATATCAAGAAATATAAAAGCAATTAAAGATAATACAGTTTTATTTTTATTTATTTATTTATTTCCAATTACAGCCTTTTGCAAAAATTATGAGAATTGTCTAAATATCTAAATATCATAATATCCATATCCATATATTGTCCGGAACACGCGGGTTTGCTAGAATAATTCATTGTTGACATCGAGAAAATGTTCAGAACTACGGATAAGTCCGTCGCCAAAAAAAAAAATAAACTACAAAGACAAGGGACTAAGGGCATCGCGCAGGATCATGCACTTGATATTATGATATTTATATATTTCAACAATTCTCATAATTTTTGCAAAAGGCTGTATATTACCAAACTGAGTTCTTCATTTCGAAAGAGTTTGAAGTGCGGTCAGCGATTTGGCCGGACGCGTTCTGTGGGGTGGTCCTGCTCGTGTTCTTCAGTGCATGCGCAATAATAAAACTAAGACCCAGTCCACAAGGAGGCGTTTTGTGTATGATGTGCTATGAAAATATCGTATTGACATGGCCGTTTATTTGAGCGTCTACATGTGCAATCCTGCCGAAATCTCTTTGTATTTTCATAAAGTTTTTCGTATTTCAAACCGCGTAGCTGCGAGCGTTTATCTAAAACTACAAGAAATTACTCATTAGTTAACTCTAGTAATGATCTTTTGTAACTCGATAAACTCTGTTAGAGACGTTAGATAATTTTTAACTAAAACTCACCTTTTTTCAAAACTGTCAAAAAAGGGCATGGTCTCTGTGTTTTATCCCTACATGACAATAAAAACAGTCAAGAACCTTGCTAGAGACGCAAAAAAGATATAAAATATTGATCCCTACCGAGGTTTGTTKCTTGAYATAACACAAAGCGTAGCGAACTGATTTCACGAGAAAGCTGACATGGATGTCTATCAATTACTACCRTRCACCAATATAAAACTGCTTGTAATCATTTTTTTTTTGCTTGCTAGGCACTTCCTGAAAACTTGATGAAARTGATCAGAATATTAAAATATATCCACATATTTTTCATAGGAAACTTTTCAGCCTTCAGCTGCTAAACACTTATATATGATTACAAATACATTATTCTAATATTGTAATGTCATTTACCGTTCATGATGAACTATTTTTGGTTAAAAAATATAAATAAAAAATGTAAATAATTATATTTTACAGTTAACCCATATGAAAACTTCCAGAACACAGTGGGGAAACCCCGTATTTCTSTTGTTTAGAAAATGAAAATGAAAGTTTACTCATAGCTCAAGAAAAGTCCCAGTTAAGAGGGAAAAGTCCCTTAATTAATAACCAAAGCCAAGTCGTACAAGAAAAGGACTCGTCAGTTAACTGCCCAGCCGTTCGACTGTTCACTACTGTATGTTGAAAGATGTCAAATTTTCCTAAGCTAAACCTTCGCGTTGCGAAAATCCTGACATCAATGTCCTCCATGAGATCTCCAGTGAAAGTACGTCAAGTTGGAGATCCAGTTCTGCGAAATATCGCCAAACCAGTCGACAAAGATTACATTCAAACGAGTGAATTCAAAAAACTCACAGATACAATGGTTAAAACGATGAGGACGAGCAAAGGAGTTGGTATTGCTGCGCCTCAAATCGGCGAAAGTCTCCAGGTTTTTGCTATGGAGTTTCCTGAGAAGAATCTACACGCTCTACGTAAACGTGGAATCAAGGAAGAAATTCTCCAAGCCATGGAATTGTCTGCTTTTCCGCTCAAAATCTTCATCAATCCCGAATTTCAAGTAGTAGACTCGACGGTAACCGAGTTTCCAGAAGGTTGTGTAAGCATTCCTGGGTTTAAAGGCATCGTTCCTCGCTACCGTGCGGTGGAGTTACAAGCAACTGATGTCGACGGCAAGGAGATATCGTGGAAGGTGTATGGATGGCCTGCAAGAATTATACAACATGAGATTGATCATTTGAATGGGACACTCTATATAGATAAAATGAAACCTGAAACATTTGAGAATCTGTATTGGAAACTGAATGCATAGCCTAGCTAGCATAGTAAGTTCGTTTTYACACAAAGGTCCCCCTTCTCCGCCGTCCCTGGCCGGTGCAAAGTCGTGCAACCCTCTGACCGATGATGCTTGTATTKAAATTCAGTAGATTCATGAGCGTCACCTAGCGATATGCTCTCTATATGTGACTGTAATTCATTATTATTTATTTTGAACAGTGTGTATATAAAACGATAGACAATATAATGTATGGAATGATTATGGCCATCATGTTATTCAAATAAAATGAATATTCTTATTGTTCAAAAATTGGTTATTCATGAATTTCTCGGAAATATGCATCATATTCCTAATTTCTAAAACCGAGAAAAAGCGGTTATTAATTAAAAATTCCCGGAAAATAGCTCTGAACTTTCCTTGGATTTTTTTCCCGTAGTTACTATAAATTGCTTTTCTCTTTCATTTTCTTCAAATGGCAAGAAAGAAATTAAACGAACTCGTAATCAAGTGACATTCAATGAATCGAAGCTGAAGGAGAAGCAGTTGGCTGACTGCGCATGTTTTTGTAAAGTGCATCAACAGCACATTTAATAATGAAACATTTATGGTTGAAAGTGCTGAAAATCAAATATTTTCAGCTTTTTATGCTTGCTCAGCGTTTGTTGCAATAATATATTCAAAATTGGGTGGTATTCGTTCGGGGACGTGAAGACTTAACTATATTTTATTGAAATTAAGTTGTTTCTGGCATGGCCATGATGTTTGGATTGATAACAGTATGATATCAATTAATAAATATTGCATTTTAAACGTCTATCTATTTCAAAACATATATATATATATATAAATTGATTCGGGGATTCCCCGATAATAGTAAAAATAACAATCAAAAAATTCCGGGGAAAACCCTAAATATGCAGCGTCAGTAAAACGAATCCACAACACAACTTTGGTTTATCCAGATATTCCGCGTACTGAATGCTCAGTGAGTAAATTGACCATAAGGTAAAAATGAATACACCAAAGAATATGATGAAAGTTGTTACTCGTCTCTCGTCCTTCAAGCAAACATCCAGCCTGCGTTTGATCGGAGACCCAGTACTGCGAGCCATAGCTCAACCAGTCAACAGAGATTACATTCAAACGAGTCACTTCAAAGAACTCACTGAAAAAATGGTGAAGACAATGAGAGCGTGCAAAGTAGTCATGATTGCAGCACCTCAAATCGGCCAAAGCCTGCAGGTTTTTGCAACGGAGTTCCCCATACAATACTTACGTGTGACACCTCATAAACTTGGTATTATCGAGAAGGAGGAGGTAGAAGCCATGGAGATGTCAGTTTTTCCGCTTAAAATCTTTGTGAACCCAAAGATTAAAGTGACAGATGCAACGATAACTGAGTTACCAGAAGGTAGTGTAAGCGTACCGGGGTATAAGGGAATCGTTCCTCGATATTATGGTGTGGAATTACAAGCCATGGACGAAAATGGCGAAGAAGTGAAGTGGCCTGTTTGGGGTTGGCCTGCAAGAATCATACAACACCAGGTTGACCATTTGAATGGGACACTCTATACCGACAAAATGAAACCTGAAACATTTGAGAATCTAGAGTGGAAACCGTAGAGAACTGTCTAGCCGGAGTTTCATCCAGCGTTTACTTGTAAACACAAAATATACCTGATTTACCGTGACAGGCTAAGAACGGTCAAGACTTTATGCAGTAATAACAAAACACAATTACTAGACAGTGTTTAACCAAAGATTATTCAAATAATATTCGTAAATTCGTATTATAAGACACAGAAAGACGCAATCACACCCAAATCGATACGCAATATAATGCAATGCCACTACGAATTAAAAGAATATTTTCATAGGACATCAATTGTAAATTCGCTGATTTAATTCCACAGAACATTTTATAATTATAATATATGATATAATAATGTAAATATAGTTTTCGCTGAAGAAGTAAATTTGTTATAAATACTTCTATATATCTGTATTATTTCTAATTCACTCTGAAGTACACTCGAAGCGGATAAAATCCGTATCTCCGCGTGCCCATGTAATATCCTCTATTTATCCGATAGTAACACATGATTAGAGATCTGAGCTTTTTTTCTTCATTAAATCCATCCCTTCATCCCCTGTGGTCAACATATGATCCAATCTCATCTCGTGCTGAAAACTTTGTTCTTTTAATTTTTTTTTTCTATTCAATTTTTGACAAAATAGTAACCTCATTTTCACAGCAAGGTCCCCATTTTTTGATTGCTGCATGCAGTAAAGATCTTTTCAGTTGTGCATTTCAAACGATCTGATGGTTTAATAAAAGTGCTGACAATCAAATATTTTATCTTCTTTATGCTTTCTCAGCGTTCTGTGCACTTATAAATTACAAATTCATGATATTCGTTCGGCGACGTGAAAACTAAACTGTATTTTATTGAAAGTAAGTTGTTTATAGCACGGTCATRATGTTTTGGATTGATAACAGTATGGTATTGTTAATAAATAATTGCATTAAACGTCTATCCATTTTAAAACTGATATGTAAAGTGATTCAGGGATTCACCGATTGTTATGGTAATAAGGACCAAAAACACACAATTCCGGGAAAAGCCCAAAATATGCAACGTCAGTATAAAAGCAGATCCATAAAAACACCGAGCGAGCTTTGGTTTATTCCAGTATTTTACTAACTATCGTACCAAATGCTCAACGTGAGTAAAACTGACTAGACGTCAAAATGATGAGCTGTTATCGTGTCTTGAAATTCCAGCTACCAGCCGGTTTGCGTTTACTAGGAGACCCAATACTGCGAGCCATAGCTCAACCAGTGAACAGAGATTACATTCAAACGAGTGAGTTCAAAGACCTCACCAAAAAAATGCTGAGTATGATGAGAGAGTGCGAAGCAGTCGGGATTGCAGCACCTCAAATCGGCAAAAGTCTGCAGGTTATTGCAATGGAGTTTCCCAAAGAATACTTTCCAGTGACGCCTCGCCAACTWGGTATATTCGAGAAGGAGGACATAGAAGCCATGGAGATGTCAGTTTTTCCGCCACAAATCATTGTGAACCCCAAGATTACTAAGGTAACTGACCAAAGGATAACTGAGTTACCAGAGGCAAGCGTAAGCGTACCGTTATTTAAAGGAATCGTTCCTCGCTATTATGGTGTCCAATTAGAAGGCATGAACGAAAATGGCGAAGAAGTGAAGAGGGTTTATCGTGGTTGGCCTGCGAGAATTGTACAACACAAGGTTGACCATTTGAATGGTGCACTCTATATCGACAAAATGAAGCCTGAAACATTTGAGAATATTTATTGGAAACTGTACTGGCATTGATATCGGTCTCATCAAGTCAACAAACAGAGAAGAACACTTCTTGTCCGAATGATTTATACAGTAATGATGGCAAAACACAATTTGACTATAAGTTAACCTACGATTATTCAATTAATCATTATTCGTATTATAAGAAACTAAAAACACGCAATCACACCCAAAACGATACGCTATATATAATGCAATGCCACTACGAATTAAAAGAATATCATGTCATACGACATCAATTGTAAATTATCTGCATTAATTCCACAGAACATTAACGATATATTTATAGATTATATAACTATGTAAATTTARTTTTCGCTGAAGAAGTAGTTTTGTAATAAACACCTCTACATCTGTATCATTTTACTCTGAAGTTAACGGGGAATTGTGTGGTGGTCACCATCTGTAAGTATCAAGGCCTGATCTGCTTGTTTTCAGTTTTGTCGACCTTGTAAAATAGGGGAATCCCCTACAACTGAAAAATACGCGAATTACATGTACAAAGTTCGCATTGATTCGTCAAAGCTTAGACGAGTTTCGATTGACAAAACGCGATAGTTGCTTTGTGATCGAGCATTTGTAAACATGTGACTAATTTGCAAGTATAATTCTCGAGATTCAAGATGTCGGTTGTCGAGGTTCGACAGATTGGTGACCCTGTATTACGATGTGTGGCCAAACCAGTAGAAAATGACTTCCTCAAAACAGAAGAATTCTTTGAATTAAAAGAAACGATGGTTCAAACGATGAGGGCGACCAAAGGAGTAGGAATTGCAGCTCCTCAGGTTGGCAGAAGCCTCCAAGTCTTTGCCATCGAATGTATAAATCGTGACCTTAGTCACATAGGCGAAGACGTTCTTAGAGAGATGGAAATATCAGACGTTCCTTTGAAGATCTTTGTGAATCCAAGATATAACATTATTGATTCTAAAATAGTTAGTCTTAACGAGGGCTGTTTGAGCATTCGTGGAAAACAGGAAATCGTTCCTAGATATCGTGGTGTGGAGTTAGAAGCCATGGATGAACACGGCGAGGAAGTGACGTGGAAAGTTCATGGATGGCCTGCAAGAATCATACAGCATGAAGTGGATCATTTGAATGGGAAGTTGTATATAGATAGAATTAAMAATTGATGAAAGCTTTGGAAGAAATGTAAATATGATCGTGTGTTGACGAAGAGTACGTGACACATTTTCGTGACCATGATACTTGCGTTACAATTAATCTCATTCACAGCCGGCAGCATGCAGAAGAAACATTGACATTTGATTTACAGCTCAATGAATYCTATACGTCAAATACTTGAGATATTGAAAATGTTTACATATAGTTTACGGAAGACAAGGGAAGGAAACTTCATCTGTTTATAAATATGAAAAAAATAAACATAATCTGAATTGCTGATTTCCGTCGATTTACCATGACTGTTAGAGTGATTTTTTTTCATGTTCAGAGAAAGTCTTGGAAAGAAGGGTGGGGGAGGGATGGAGAGGAATGTCGTACCTTTTTTAAGCTCCAAGAAGACCTGATGCTGAGAGTGAAGAGGATGCTTCAAGGACAAATAAGTTGAATATGGAAATTGTTATTTTTTCATTTGAGAATATAATTTCCTTGCATTTATTATAAGTAATACCATGGAACGAGGGAAATTAGTGATTAAATTTCCCCGAAACCGAGGGAAAATTTGTGGAAGTCCCGAGGGCGCAGCCCGAGGGACTTTTACAAATTTTCCCGAGGTATCGGGGAAATTTAATCACTAATTTCACGAGTGACATGGTATTACTTTGTAATACTATTATCGGCGAGGAAGTAAGGAAACATCTTTGATATCATGTTCAGTTTTCTAGTCAAGGAAGCGAAAACAACGCCGCCAAAATGCATAACTAGCTCTTTAGCGTATTGTACACCTAGGACACCTAGGCTTGATAATGATGTAATCAAACAATAGTTTTCAAACACATTACTT